CCCAAACCTGGCCAATTTTCAGGACAATTATCTGCCAGTAGGTCTCATTTCAATGATCTTTCTTGAATTTCACATATTGAAATACAGCTCACTAAGAACACACGTTAAAATACTCTCTCCATCACAAAGACAATTGATTTTTTCAAACATTTCAACTAGTGTATACAAAACTTAGTGTCCACTTGTAATGTTGGGGAAGCATACTGAAGTACAAAGAGGGCTGAGGATTGGGGGAGGGGTGTGTTAAACATTTCTCAAAACATCCTGACCTAAACTGAGGTAGACAACATCTAACACACTTAGCAGTAATTTCCAGACCCCTTTCAATAACTGCAAATGAGGAACAAACAGAAGTAACACACCCCATAATATTATTTCTAAAACTCATTCTACAGACAGAAACACCCAGAGAGCCAACTTGCACACACAGGAAAGAGCGAACTTTCAACCTGCATGTTAAAGGCCCTCGAAGATGAACAGACATTAACGAGAGTCTAAATGTATTTTAGTGACTTCTGTTTTAGAAAACCCATCTAGTTCGCTAACTGATGGATGACCATTCATACACCTGTATTTGCATTTCAGGGATAAAAAGACAAGCAGGGTTTTCAGCGCCTAGAGAACCACGCTGCCAAGTCTCTTCGAAACGTCAATATGCTTCAAGTGCTACCAAAGCTGAGAGATGCCTCTCGATTTCCAAAGAGTCTAGGTGGCCTGGGTGGGTTTCTGCCCGCAGCAGCCTCCTACCTTCCGTTCCTGTGCCTACATCCAAGAGAGGGATTAATTAGCCCGGCTGGAGCCGAAGGAGGCAGTGGTGACGAGCCCAGTGGCGATTGGCCGCCAGCCTGCCTGGCCCTGCCTTTATAATTTCCACACGAGTGCGTCTGGGCTCTGAGACAAACCCTCAGCAGCTTCTTCTGACATATACACACGCACACTTACCCCCGACGCACACTCCGCACACTTCTCCTCCGCCCGACCACCGTCCTGCACACACAATGACCCTCGGAAGGCGTAAATAAACACGGGAAGGGCTGATTATTTTGACTCTGGAAGAGCTTCGCTGGGGATCAGCGCAACTTTGTTTTTGTGACCGGGAAGGTGATCTCTCCCTCGTTTCTCGCCCGCCAGGATTCTTTAAAAGAGGAAGAGAGCAGGAAGGGGGGAGGCAGTGTTTCCCTTTAAGAGCGGCTGGGCGCCTCACACGAGGAGGGGACCGCGCCAGAGCCCCGCGGCGGCGCGCGGCACCGGTTCGAGCCGCTCGGAGCGCGCCGGGCCGTTTCTGCACGAAGTTGGCTCCAGCTCCAGCAGCCGCATTGGATCCCACAGCCTACTGCGAGACTCCGGTGTACAATCCGGATCTCTGCCCCAACATGATCGCGGCCCAGGCCAAGCTGGTGTACCATCTGAACAAGTACTACAACGAAAAATGCCAAGCCAGGAAAGCGGCCATCGCCAAGACGATCCGGGAAGTCTGCAAAGTCGTGTCCGACGTGCTGAAGGAAGTGGAGGTGCAGGAGCCCCGCTTCATCAGCTCCCTCAACGAGATGGACAACCGCTACGAGGGCCTGGAGGTCATCTCCCCCACGGAGTTCGAGGTGGTGCTTTACCTTAACCAAATGGGGGTGTTCAACTTCGTGGACGACGGCTCGCTGCCCGGCTGCGCGGTGCTGAAGTTGAGCGACGGCCGCAAAAGGAGCATGTCCCTCTGGGTGGAATTCATCACCGCCTCCGGCTACCTCTCGGCGCGCAAAATCCGCTCCCGCTTCCAGACGCTGGTGGCTCAGGCGGTGGACAAATGCAGCTACAGGGACGTGGTGAAGATGGTGGCGGACACCAGCGAAGTGAAACTGAGAATCCGAGATCGGTACGTGGTGCAGATCACCCCTGCGTTTAAATGCACCGGGATCTGGCCGCGGAGTGCTGCCCACTGGCCACTTCCCCACATCCCCTGGCCTGGCCCCAACCGGGTGGCGGAGGTCAAAGCGGAAGGGTTCAATCTCTTGTCCAAGGAGTGCCACTCCCTGGCCGGCAAGCAGAGCTCGGCCGAGAGCGACGCCTGGGTGCTGCAGTTCGCCGAGGCGGAGAACAGACTGCAGATGGGGGGCTGCAGGAAGAAATGCCTCTCCATCCTCAAAACCTTGCGGGACCGCCACCTGGAACTGCCCGGCCAGCCCCTGAACAATTACCACATGAAGACTCTGGTTTCCTACGAGTGTGAAAAGCATCCCCGGGAGTCGGACTGGGACGAGTCTTGCCTGGGTGACCGGCTCAACGGAATTTTGCTGCAACTCATCTCGTGCCTGCAGTGCCGGAGGTGCCCTCACTACTTCCTACCCAACCTCGACCTGTTTCAAGGCAAACCTCACTCAGCGCTGGAGAACGCTGCCAAGCAGACCTGGCGGCTGGCGAGGGAGATCCTGACCAACCCGAAAAGTTTGGAAAAACTTTAGAGAACGGTTTAGTCAACGGCCGAAACGTGACGACTCTTCTCAAAGTCCTAATTACGTGTACATTCCTGTTGCAGTCCTGAGACGCCACTTGACAGTGCAAACTATCTCTTCCTTGAAAAGGAGTAAAGCAAGATTTAGGCATCACCTCACCCACCCCTCCAAGGGGAGAAAACAAGTGGGGGAGCAGAGGAAGGAAAACCCCAACTCACAAGTATTAGAGATTTCTTTACAAAGGATCTCATATCTCCCTTGAAGCGTACACAGTGACCCCCAGAAAACAACTGGCTGTAACGCAAGACCACAGGGAACACTGCCTAACTGTAGGGATTACAGGATCCTGGTGATCTGGGCACATCTGTCTGTGAGGAGCACCATTGGATATGCCACCCGAAGGAAAGTGTAATGTATATTTTGATTTGTAACAAATATTGTGATCTCACATTGTCTTTGAAGTGTGGATGTTTGTGTTTTGTGATTTGGTGAACAGAAGTTAAATGGCCATTTTGGATACTTCCAGACATTTTCCACGAACAAAGATACCATTTAAAGGTAGATTTCCTCCTGGTACTTTATCTGTCTTTGAAAGTGTCTGAACTTTAAAAAGTTTACATTTTGTTTCAAATATATTGCTTGTTCTATTTCTAACATTCCATAAGTATACTTGAAATGTTATTTAAATATATTCAAAGAAATTTGAATTCAGCGTATATAATAACGCTTGAATATCTGAATTATATATTTGAAAAATGCACTTGAAATACACTGGATAATTACTTTTGTGATTTAGATTTTAATTTCTGTTGCTGGTTTTATTTAATTAGGAGCTAATAAAGAGATAAAATGAAGGTTGTCTCACTTTAAATTGCTTTTCTACGAAAAGATGTATGCTCATTTTGCAAACTGAACTCACTTGAATATTTTAAACATTTTGGAATTATGTTAATGAAGTCATTAAAAATAAAACCTTACAATGTTTTTGTAGAGCTACAAAAAACAATGATCTACTCTCACTTTCTAACTTACTTATAAGTATTTCTTTCTATAACACACAATTGAAATCTACCCATGAAAGCTTGCTCTTATGGGCTAGTATTTCTGTAGCATTTTGGATGATATAAGGAAAAAAAATGTCATGACAGTAAAGACTGCTGAGTTAAAAATAAGACTAACTCAGAGAAAATGAACTTATCAAATACATAATGAAAATTTTATAATTTGTAAATGAAAGCAAACTGTGCTAATAAAATGAAGATGATTTCTGACCAGTTAATGTCAGACCTTATTTTATGCAGTGTTCAAATAGCTGAATAAATTAATCAGAAATCCAACATTCCTTTTTACTTCACAGGTCTAGCTAATGATAAAAACATAAAGACAAATTTTAAATTATTCAAAGTCAAATACATTATATTTACACTAATTTGTAAAATTCAGTTCTTTCCTAGAAGTGAACAAGTCCTGGAACAATCCTTCAGAGTGTTTTCATAGTCAACAAGTGCTGAGCAGGGCTAATCACCTATGGCCTTCAGGTGGTTAGTTCATTCAGGTGGGGGCAAATTTTAGAATTTCAATTCCTTTTCTACCAAGGGCATTTTATAATGCTTTATTTCTATATAAAAAGTAAATATAAAGAATAAGGTTCTGGGTCTACAGGATCATTTGTCTTTGACTCTTTTAGAATAAATGCCTCTGAAAACTACTTTAAAGGAAGATCTTTGTAAAACAATTCTTAAATATCTAGAATGACACTCTGTTCTTGAATCCTTAACCTCAGGAGAAAAGTTTCACAAATCAAACGGTAACATAAAAGTTAAAATAACAATAAAATTGATTTCAGAAGAAAGTGCAGAGGTGCCCTAATACTCAGGTTTTAAAATCCACACAAGATATAATAAACAAATGCATATTTATACATTTCAAATCCTCCAAATACGTATTTTTCAGGCATTACACCCACAGAAGAACACAAACTTTAAACATCTGAGTGCTAGGATATATACATTTTGAGTAAAAACTTCTCGGAGAATCAGTTTCTCTTTCTTTTAAATTCACAAGGAAAACCCACTCTTATTTCAGGAGATAAAAAATGGATGTAATGGAGATTAATTTATACCTACATAGTATGCCCCTCCCTGCAGTTTCCTCATAACCTTTCGATCAATAATAATTCACACCGCAATCTACACTTTTGGAAATTAAAAGTGATCTCAATAAGACATTTCATAAGACCCTTCGTAGCCTTCTCAGCCTGAGATTCCAGACTCTAGGGACTTGGGAGCAATTGGCTGAAGTACTATTCTGCCCGAATGCACACAAAGGCACTCAGAGACTGTAAAAATGTGCCTGCTCTGGTAATACAGGATTTAAAATCGTTAATATAGTCTTCAATCCCATACAATAAAGCGTGTGTTGTTTCATTCATTTTATTTTCTATGAGAAAGATGGAAATCAGCTCCCCTCCCCCACTGTCATTTAAAACCCAGCAGAATTGAAAACCACTTCCTGCCACAAAGCCACCAGGACTGTAGCAGAATCACTGTAACTCACTTTCGCGTCGATCTTTTTGAAGGCAGGGTCGTCCTCATCTACCTCGAAGTAGATTTCGGTCGTGGTGATGGAGAGGGTCCCTTTGGCCACCACCACGGGAGCGATGAGCTGGGCAGGCGTGCTGAGCACCACGGGGCCTGAAAGAAAGGGCGGCAGAATCAGGCCAAGTCCGTGACCCTCTCTGGCTCCCTTCCGGAAGGGGACCGCGGGTTTCTACTTTTAAAGATGCACTGAAAAAACGGTGCCTATGTTGTGCAAGTCAGCTCCTTTCATGTGAGATGAGGTCTGCTTAGCGTTCACACATTACTTAGGACGAAGCTAGAGGTACACAGAGCTATGAAAACCCAAGGGGCCAGAGACTCGAGTAAGCGACTCTCAGGCAAGCCAGGCAGCAGCCGCCCCGGGAGTCCTGGTGGCGGCGAGGCGCTGGGCTGACTTCGCGCAGAGCGGACAACGGGCCGCTGCTGCGCGGAGCGCCGGGCTGAGACCCGGGCCGGCCAGCACCGCCCGCGGGGCCAGACCTCCGTCAGGGCGGGCAGCGGGGCAGCGCGTTCCCCGGGTGGCGCAGGGTGCGAGGCGGCCCGTGGTAACACAACCCTCGGTGCTAACGGGTCTGCGTCCTGCGAGGAGACTAACACCGGTGCCCCGAGCGCCACGCACACTGACACGCGCACCCGCGGACACGAAATGCCTTTCTTATGTTCTTGTGTGGAGGGAAAAAGGAACTCGCAGCAGGGATTTTTCGAACCGAGACTCGGTTAAAAAGTGATGAAGTTGCAGGACATTTGAACGGAACGGATCTCAGGAAAGCGTCCGAAAAGTTCCAACCCGTAACTTCTGAAACTAGAACTGAGGTTTCCTACGTGTGCCTGCCTGCCCGGGCCACTGCAGGCCCTGGGACTGGGGGGCAGTGCCGGCTCACGTGCGGGGGCTACCCCGGGGCCGGCTGGGCCGCGCCCAGGCCCAGGGGAGGCCTTCTCCGAGCCCCGACTGCAGCGGGGAGTCGGGAACAGGGGCGCAGGCTTCCCGGGCACTTCCCAGCCACGTGCGTGCTCAGGAACCGAGCCACAGCCTCAGCGGCTCCCTGCTCGCAGGGCCAGGGCCACGGCCACGGAGCAGGCCCCGGCGGGGCGGTGCCGCGTTCCCAGGGACCAGCGCACAGCGCGGGGGCACCCAGAGGCCCGGGCGGCTCCCGTCGCCCCGAGGGGTGGAGGGAAGCACGCGGGGTCCTCGGCCAAGCCCGACCGTGACCGCCTCCGCTGGCTGCTCTGCTCCCTCCCCGGGGCCGCACGCCCAGCCGGTCTGCCGGCAGCTTCCGCCGAGGAGCCCGCGGAGCCGGGTCCGGCGCGCCTCCGCCAGCTTTTCTTTCCAAAGGGCAAGGCGGTCGATCTGAAGCGCCACTTTAAAGGCTCATCAATCTTAATCTAGGTTGCTCAAGTAATTATGCCCGAATCTCTTGTACGATTACAAGTGGATTTGGGTTTCTATTCCCCAGGCCCTCCTTTGTGTTTATTGGAGGGTCTGTGCGCGCGCTCGGCGCCCCTGCCTCCGCCACTCCAGTCCCCAAAGCCGCTCCCTTAACCCTTCCAGCGCCAGGGCGCGCCAGGCCGCTCTCCCGCCGCCCTCGCGGAAACCCAGGTTCGCCCTGCTTCGGACGCGGCTGCAAAGACGGGGACGTGACTCACACTGGAAACAAAGTATCTTCTTAGGAATCTTAGGATCTGGCTAAATAAAACCCTAGGAAAGGCCTCTCTGGAACACAGAAGGCCAGTGATTTCCGCTGCAACAGAGGTTTCTGGCATTTGGAGGCCAGGAGTGGTCAAAAACAACAACAAAAAATGGCGAACTGCTTCTTTTTCTTAAAAAGTAATTCAACACAGCCTAACAGTTAAGTTGGAGAAATGGAAAAGAATCGCGACACATTAGGAAAACCGTGCCCCCTTATTTACTGAAATATATTATGAATTTCAAATACAGTTTCGTGAAATTTTAACGGGGAACACATTTTCTCGACTCGTTTCTCTGTGTTTCTGAAAGAACACTGCACTTCCCTTTTATTTCGCTCCAGTCTACTGAACTGGTATTTTCTGGGGGTTTATACAAGGGCTTCAAACTGATCCTTCTTTCAGAAAGACACATCGTAAACCACTCGGCTTCAATAGAGTGTCATTTTTACCCTTGTCCTTTGGAAACCTTCAGTTACAACTTCCAGTTCCACAGCGTGTTTGGGGAGCACCGCGGCTCTGCTGCAGCCTCAGGAAGCAGACCAGCCACACAGAGAACGCAGAGTTAATCCACTGCAGCCACAGAAAGAGGGGATTATGCTTTAATCCCTTTTGGGAGGGCCTCACGATGTTAGGGATCTGATATTAAAATGTTTACATAAGGCACAATCACAGACCAGCAGACCTTCCATCTGGAAGATGTGGTTATTTGAAAGCCTCCATCCCTTTCCAAAAAAAAAAAAAAAAATGTTTGCAAGGGCAGCATGTCTGGATGCTAGGGCAATGGCAAGCCAGCAGGTTCTGTTCTAGGGGATAACGTGGTAAAAACATAACCTGTAACTTTGCTTCGCGCAGCGAGTTGGGAACCTGAACACAGATACATTCATTTCAGTCCTACAGCAATAAAGGGATGAGCTATAATGCCATCAGCACCCACATAGGAACAGTGATGGATGGGGGAGCATGGTTAAACAAGTGGATGGGACCACACCTCCTCCCCTTACTGAGGTCTACAATAGCTGAAAAATGCTCCATCTAAAGTGCAATTAAAAAAAAAAGTCATTTATGTTTTAGAATTGGGAATATAATGTTTAAGAAATCTTGATCCATTACTATTTTTGAAAGAAGGACAGGGATATTACTTGCCATTGATTTAAATGCTAATTTAAAATCTGAATCGGAACAAAGGTCATTTCCCAATTATCATGAAAAGTATCTTTAAAAGAATAAATTCTCTTTAGAACCATAATGTCTTTAATCAGTTGAGATGGTAAACCTAGAGTAGAAAAAACATATGTTTTATATTTGAAAGGGGAACTAGTCATCAAATATATTTTAGAAGTAGAATGTTTAAAAACACTTGTGGATTTGGATGAATTTACTGAAAACAAAATTCTAAACCTAGAAATCAACTTTTTAATAGAACTTTATAGTTTATAAAGTTCTTTTACTTAAAACTCTATCGTTCAATATTCACAATTTGGGGCTATGAACGTGAGAATATCCTCTTGCCCAAGCGCTGGGCTTGCGGCTCCTGGCACCTGGCACGGAGGAGAGCTGGGAATGGGAGGACTTAGGAAGAGGGCATCGGAAGGACTTCCGGAAGGGTCTGGACATCGGCTAATGATTTGGGGAAGGTTTGAGGAGGGAGGCAGGACTGTACTCTGGTTTGTTCTGTGACCAAGTGTCGTAATACATCTTATCCAAAGGGAGAGGGGACTAGACCTAGGCTAAAGCTGCAGCTGGCAAAGAGGTAGCAGCCACTCATGTTATTAGCCAGGAGAGGGGGTGTTTGCCATTTAGGTGGTATGCAGAGTGACGCTGTTTGTGTCTGTGCTTAGACAAAATTATAAGCTGTTTTTTTTGCCTGACATCATTGTCATGTGACCTTGTCCGATGATGGTGTTCTGTGAGGTTATGTCCAGAGGAGAAGACCATGGGCTACCTGTGAGCTCCAGGCCAGCTCCACAAAAATATCGAGGCCTCCTTGTAGGGGTCAGGACACTTTCCAGAGGTCAGGGGCTGCTTTTCTTGATCCCAGATACAAAAATTAATCTTTTGGGGGGGGTGTTCCATAGCATTCTAGCAATTAAAAGGCAATTTATGGCAATTAAATTTTCAAAATTAGATTTACAAGTTGCAATATAAAGAACAAAAGAGAATATACAGGATAGGGCAAAATAGGGTTATAGTTGTTCATATGGATTAATCATATTATAATTAATAAACACAATACAAGAATAAATATAATACAGGAATAAAGTCTGTGTTCCTCCGACTCACAACTGTAATCCTACTTTTGCCTCAACCTATATATAGGAACCAAGAGTTGAAGTTAATTAAAATTGGCACCGTTACAAGTAGTTGATGACTTTAAATTGAAAAAAAGAAGTGTAGGTAAAATTACAATGTATTTTAGAATCACTTGAATATATTCTAAACTTAGTCTAATATTAATAAAAGTTTTATTAGCTATATGGATTGTCTCCAACCTCAATTACTTTGAAACCACATGTTCAATTTGTCTTTGGAACATGTAAGAGACTATTATTTTAGGACATAAATGTGGACTAATCTTTGTGAAATTATGAAACTTAAAACCATGACATTATTTAGAAGAAACAACATTGGAAACCCTTTATATTTAGTGCAAATGATTATTTAAAAAGAAATCTAAGACAAAAATATAAGAAAGTAAATTTTTACAATTATTTCCAAGTGATAAAATTTGTAGGAAAATAGCTCATATCCTAAGTGACTGAAAACATACCTAAAATATTTATCATTGCTTTGGACTTATATTATTTCCCCCATAGAATAAAAAGAATATAATGCTTTAATCTCAAAGTGGAACAAATCAGCGAAGAGCATGAGGAAGTGGGCACTTTGTTTCGGAATCCCAGCAGGCAGCAGGCAGCAGGTGTCCGTGCCTGTGCCTGGAGAGAGGGAGGTCAAGGGAAAGGCCGCAGGAAATCTCAGAGGGTAATATCCAGGGCAGGGCCCTGGGTCTCAGCCATTTAAAATGCTTCAAGGAAAAAGAAAGTACAGTTATACAATCTTGAGACAGTGACTCTTTTCTTATAGGCAGAGAACACTGATAAAGGTCCAAATATATTAGAACAATCATCCTCTGACATTTTCAAAGCCTTTTCTTGCTTGAACATAGTTATAGAGCCCTGGCCAGTTTGGTTCAGTGGTTAGAGCATGAGCCTGAGGACTGAAGGGTTGCAGGTTCGATTCCAGGTCAAGGGCACACACCTGGGTTGCAGGTTCCATCCCAGCAACCAATGGATGTCTCTCTCTTACACTGATGTTTCTCTCTCCTCCTCCTCCCTCCTTTCCACTCTATTTGAAAACCATTGGAAAAATATCCTCAGGTGAGAATTAACAACAACAAAAATATAGTTATGGAA